AAGAAGAAGAAAAAGAAGAGAAGAAGAAGAAGAAGAAGAAGAAGAAGAAGAAGAAGAAGAAGAAGAAGAAAAAGAAGAAGAAGAAGAAGAAAGATTCTTTATATAGCAGTTGCAGGTTATGAATCCAGTTCTTGAGAGACCCAGCACTACGACGTATCTTTTACCAAATGCTGCCTTTGGGCTGTGGTGTGAGGAGCTGTCTGGTGGCGATATGCCCTGTGGTGCCTGAGTTTGGAGTGGATGGGCCTGGGCAATGATTACTGGGCCTGGGGATGGGGTTTTTTTTTAGGAGGGGGTGGGTAGGTGGGGGCTTTTACGTAATAAGCACACTTGTTCAGCGTGAGTGGTTGGCGGGTGCTCTGGTGTGGTTTGCTCCTTCTTGTCGAACATCTATCGTCCTGATCTTTCCTCTTTCTTTTTTATGTTTGTTACTCTCTTGTTACATAACATCACAACTGAAAGAGCTGCGGAGCTGACCTACCATAGAAAACTGGATCTCCCCTCGACGCTAAACGGCAACAGAGGATGAAAAAGTAAAAGTAGGCTCTCTTGAAAACCTCTAATCTTCCGCACTTATATGACCTTATTGTGTTGCAAGTGCCGTAAAACTCTTACTAAAATTAAAACACTCGTTAAACTAATCGGCTCTGCTGAATCGAGTCGGGTAAGGATAGGAAATCAGTCTTTTACAAAATAAGATAAGATGATATAAGATAAGGTAAGATGAGATAAGATCAAATAAACCTTTGTTGTCCAGATGCTGGTACGATGGTTTGGTGTTTCACCACACATACTCACACGCGTGCGCGCGCGCGCACACACACACACACACACACACACACACACACACACACACACACACTTATACGCTATTAAACAGGGTTCCTAGAATAATTATAAATTATTGGTCTGCAATAATAGCTAGCAGTCCAATAGTCTTGTATCCCGCTCGCACCTCTTCGTGTGTCCGTTTCAGCAGCCACATTCTAGCCATATTGCTCAGTCCTGTTATATCAATTTTGTTCGTGGTATTTTCCGCTAGACGACCGCACTCACACCAACAAGGGGCCTGTATGTCCGGCTCCACAGCTCGCTAGCCATCACTGACCGCTGGTGTAGGGTTCATGATATTATGCAGGTGTAGGGCCTACCTTTGGTCAGTTGTAGGTGTCGGACTCCAAAAGTTTGTATAGTATCCAGTAGTGGTCAGTTAGGTGTGTAACACGTGGATGATTCGGGGAAGAGGGTGGGGTGCGCTTTTTGGGACCTGCTCGTTCTATTCTTTCCAGTACTTGTTATTTACTTTTTTAGTGTAGGTGTTATATGTCTCAATCGATACAATTTAGATCAGTTAAGACATTATTCCCTGTCTGTCAGAGCAACCAGGGCTGAAGAGGATACAGTGCTCGCCCAGCAGAAACACTGAGATACTCGATTTTTAAAAAGCTTTACTGGGGCTCTCCTGTTTGTAACGGCGAAGTGTTTAACTGCTACACCACAGACGCCGGTGTTTCTTGTGTCCCAGAAATGTAAGATGCATTTAATTTGTAAAGAGGTATGACATACTTCTCTATGTATGTATAGTATAAGGTTTTACGGCGCTCGCCGGGAATCGAACCCACAGACGTCTGAAATGTGGTCTTGTACCTGGTACCCAGTAGACCCACGCCCTTGACTGTCTTATGACAAGGTGATGGTGATGATGTCTTGTAAGTGCTGCATAGAAAAATGTGTGTGTATGTGTGTGTGTGCGTGTGTGTGTGTGTGTGCGTGCGTGTGTGTGTGTGTGTGTGTGTGTGTGTGTGTGTG